TCACAAGAAAAGGGCTTCTGTCCTGTGTGGATTATCATATGTTTTTTTAACCTGTCCTTTTTGGAAAACTTTTGACTACACTGATCACAAGAAAATGGCTTCTGTCTTGTGTGGATTCTTATGTGTCTATTTAAACAGCCCCTTCTTTTAAACCGTCGGCCACATAAATCACAACAAAATGGTTTCTGTCCAGTGTGGATTTTCATATGTTTTTTCAAACTGGCCTTTTCAGCAAACCTTTTTTCACACAGATCACAGAAGAATGGCTTCTGTCCTGTGTGGATTATCATGTGTCTCCTTAAACTACCCTTTTCAGTAAAACATTTTTCACACAGATCACAAGAAAATGGCTTCTGTCCCGTGTGGACTATCATATGTTTTTTTAAACTACCATTTACAGTAAACCTTTTTTCACACAAATGACAAGAAAAGGGCTTCTGTCCTGTGTGGATTAGCATGTGTCTCCTTAAACCACCCTTTTCAGTAAACCTTTTTTCACACAGATCACAAGAAAATGGCTTCTGTCCTGTGTGGATCATCATGTGCCTGGTTAAATTGCCCTTTACGCTAAACCTTTTTTCACACAGATCACAAGAAAATGGTTTCTGTCCTGTGTGGATTTTCATGTGTCTTTTTAAATATACCTTATGAATGAACCTTCTCCCACAAACATCACAGCCAAATGGCTTCAGTCCATTTTTGTTGTGGACCCTGTTCACACTTGACTCAGAGACCCTGCTGGGTGAAGACTCCCAGATGTCATCAGTGTCTTCAGTTTTTAACCCAATGTCAGATAAAAGTTTCATCTGAGACTCAGGATTGTTCACGTCATTATCCTCTTCGTCATCTTCACTAACTTCAGTTTCTGAAGAATCAGAATCTCTATAAGCATTTAGATCTTGTTTTTTTGAATCTTTTTCTCCTTCACCAGTTGATAATTCTTCGTGGTCACCTGAGCTGCTGGTTGGAAGATCACAGACTTTATCTTGGTGTTGATGAAGCTGTGAGAACAGAGGTTTCTCTTCATCATCCTCACTCTTAAAAGGAACTGCAGTTAATGAAAAGCTGGTGACATCTGTCTCCTCCTTCATACTGAGCTGCCCTCCCCCCAAAATGGTCCACTGTTCCTCCTCTTCCTCTTTTATGTGGAGGCAATTTGCATCCTGCTTGTCCACATCAGGCCACTGTTCTTCAGGAGCTTCTTCTTTAATCAGTACTGACTTCTGAACATCTGCAGGAACCACTGGAACACATGTAAAATACAGTAAGGAGAACTGTAGCTTTATATTCACACATACATGATTTTGATTACTGCTCAGATCACAGAGTTATTTTTTCCTCCAAACAGGTTCCAGTGCTGATCCAGAGCCAAAGAGTGCTTAGCCCCAGCTCTTTCCTTTTTTAAACACTTTAAGCTGTGGCTTTAGCACCACACCAACTCAGAACACACGGTTTAAATGTGTTTATTTCTTTTAACTAAAACGTTTCAAGTGTTTAACCAGACTGGTGCTATAGATGGTTCCTTAACGGTTCTCTGAAAATAAAATTAAGAAACAAGAAAAGGTGGGTGCCTCAACACCCTCTCCTTCCTCCCAACATCCCTACATTCTACTTCACACCCACCTCCAGGAGAGTGGAAATAATACTGCCTGGTTTTGCCCATGATCAATGATTTTAAATATTCATTTGGTAATTTTGACTTTCAATAGTTAGCTTTTATGTAGTAAAACTAAAAATGTAAATATTTAGTTTATCAAAGGCTGATCATCAGCACTTTAGCTTTTGTAACCTGTCATACATTATTTAATCTGTAAGCAAGCTCAGCTATAAACAGAGTTACACATGTCCTTTCCCAGAAGATAAATTCATTAACTACCAGAAAGCTCAGCCTAAACTGTAACATAATCATATTAAACAGAAATAATAAAAAGATACAAACCTATTATATGCAGTTGATCGTTGGGACTGAAAACTGCATCTAAGATTTGGCTTCCTCCAGATGTTTCCTGTTCAAGAGCATCTCTACTTCCAAGGAAAACCTCCATTTCTTCTTCCTCTGCATCCAGGTGCTGCTGGACCTGCTGTCTCCACATCTGTTAGCTTTCGTTCATCACTATTTACCTTCAACATTAACCGAGTAGTTACAGCTGAATAGAACTCAAAATTAAACTAATTTCACCAGAAGTCGAGAGAAAAGTGGCTTAGTTCGTCGATATGGAACATGGAGAACACAATAAACGTTCGAGCAGAACAACTTCCGCTGCAAGGAGGAAATCACTTCCGTTATTTTCAGATTGCCTTCAAAATAAGAGCTCGAACAAAATTGTTCTTCTGCACTACAATTGCCCACAGAGCTGTTTGCGGGGTTTTTTACGCTTTAAGATACCTTGTTTTTTAATCACTTATATTCTTTTGTTTTTAAATTGTGTTTTTATAATTTTATTTATCATATCAGTCATATAGCAACTAAGGGCTTTGAGGAAAATAGGTTAGGAACCATTGGTATACATACATACACCTCTCTAAATGGCTTTAAACATCTGTTAAGTTCTTGGGAAAGACCAATGCAGACATGTTCTTGTTTTTAGTTTTCTACAACACCTCACAACCTAGCTGTTTTTTTTGTTTTTGTTTTTTTTTACATTTTCTTTTAAATACCATTTTATTTTCACTATATAATCACTCTTAAGCCTCCCTGGTAAGGTCTATTCAGTGGTTCTGGAGAGGAGGGTCTGTCGGATAGTAGAACCTCAGATTCAAGAGGAGCAGTGCGGTTTTCGTCCTGGTCATGGAACGCTGGATCTGCTCGACTCCTTCAGCAGGGTCCTGGAGGGTGCGTGGGAGTTTGCCCAACCAGTCTACATGTGATTTGCGGACTTGGAGAAGGCATTCGACCAGGTCCCTCGGGGAACCCTGTGGGGGGTACTACAGGAGTATGGGGTACCTGGCCCTTTGATTCGGGCTAATAGATCCCTGTATGATGGGTGTCAGAGCTTGGTCCGCATTGCTGGCAGTAAGTCAGGCTCGTTCCCGGTAAGAGTTGGACTCCGCCAAGGTTGCCCTTTGTCACCAATTCTGTTCATAACTTTTGTGGACAGAATTTCTAGGTGCAGCCAAGGTGTTGAGGAGATCCATTTTGGTGACCTTAGGATCACTTCTCTGCCTTTTGCAGATTATGTTGTCTTATTGGCTGCATCAGTTTGTGATCTACAACTTTTGCTGGAGCGGTTCGCAGCAGAGTGTAACGCGACCGGGATGAGGATCAGCTCCTCCAAATACGAGGCCTTGGGCTTGAGTCGGAAAAGGGTAGAGTGCCCTCTTCAGGTCGGAGGTTCTGCCCTGTGGGGGAGTTTAAGTATCTTGGAGTCTTGTTCACGAATGAGGGGAAAAAATGGAGCGGGAGATTGATAGGCAGATAGGTGCGGCAAAGGCAGTGTAGAGGGCGCTGTACCGGTCTGTTGTGGTGAAGAGAGAGCTGAGTAAAAAGGCAAAGCTCTTAATTTACCGGTCGATCTTCATTCCTACCCTCATCTATGGTCATCAGCTTTGGGTCGTGACCGAAAGAACAAGATAAAGGATACAGGTGGCCGAAATGAGTTTTCTCCGCAGGGTGGCTGAGCTCTCCCTTAGAGACAGGGTGAGAAGCTTGGTCATCTGGGAGGGACTCAGAGTAGAGCCGCTGCTTCTCCACATCGAGAGGAGCCAGTTGAGGTGGCTCGGGCATCTGCTTAGGATGCCTCCTGGACGTCTCCCTGGTGAGGTGTTCTGGGCACGTCCTAACGGGAGGAGACCAGAGGAAGACCAAGGACATGCTGGAGGGACTATATTTCTCAGCTGGCCTAGGAACGACTTGGGATTCCTCCGGAGGAGCTGGCCAAAGTGGCTGGGGAGAGGAAAGTCTGGGCCTCCCTACTTAGACTGCTACCTCCCATGACCTGACCCCGGATAAGTGGAAGAAAATGAATGGATGGATGGATGGATGGATGGATGGCTGGTGTGCTTTTACTTCAGTTACGTTACAATAAGTACTAGTGAGTTGATTATTCTACTGCTACCTAAACATAACAAATTGGCGACGAGTTGTTCTCAGTGCGTGACACTACGATAGCTGCTACAACTCCTTTCTCTATGCTGTTTCTTCAATGTCCTGGGGAACCTTCACTGTCCTTAGGCACGTGGTTGAAGATCTTCCAAAGCTATCTTCAGGTGGTCACTAATAGTGCTAATGGATAGCTGGATCCTCAGAAGCGAGCTCTCCTCCTACACAGCCTATGAACCAAGGGACTGAGGCTGTTTGACACACTACTGAATCAAGGTGAGACGATGGATGAGGCAATCAGTGCGCTGCAGGTGAATTTTTCTTCTAAACTGAACGTGGTGGCTGAGCGCCACACCTTTAGAAAACGAGTTCAAAATTCCTATAAAACTGTGCCTCCAATATGTTGCTGCTTTAAGAGACTTTGCTGTTACTTGTGAGTTTGGTTCAAATTTGGATGAAATGCTTTGTGATAAGCTGGTGGGAAATGTAACAAATCACCGCATCAGAGAACGTCTACTTCTTTAGCCAGAGTTGACTTTACAGAAAGCATTAACACTTGCAACACCGACTGAAGCTGCTGGGGAACAATCTAGACTTATTGCTGGAGAAAACTCAGCGTCAGTGCAATCTGTGCCTGCCAGCGCAGCGTTTTTCCACCGGAGACATAAATCCGCATCTCGGAAGCGCGTGTCTGCATCAACTCCCGCTTGTCCACCTGCTTCTGCACCTGCAGCTTCAGCTCGACCCATCAGCAACCAAACCTGATTCTGATATGGATCACACAAACACCTGGCCAATGACACTTCATGTCCTGCTGCATCAGTTAAATGCAATAACTGTAATCATATTGGACACTTTGCACGAGTGTGTCGTTCCGCTCAAACAGTTTCTGTGAGTGAAATTGACCTGCCTGAAGTTCAAATCCTTCACTTACATGAACATTCAGCACCTGATAATAGCAGCTGCATTGTCAACATTGAGACTAAGTGTGCTGCAGCCCCTGTTGAGCTGACTGTTGATTCAGGTTCTTCTGTACTCATCCCTTTAGTTGGCAGCTCAAAACACCACATACAGAACACCATGGACTTTGTGAATAAGGTGAGATATGTCATCATGGAGACTGATGAAACAATGGTCTCTTTTGATGTCACATCCCTCTTCACGTGCATTCCTGTTGATGATGCAGCAGAGGTGGTCAGTTTAAGATTAAAATCAGACACCACTCTGAGCAGCAGGACCACGCTTTCCACAGAACAACTGAGTCAACTCTTGAAACTGTGCCTGCAGTCAACCTACTTCGCATATGGGGGCCAATATTATAGGCAGAAACATGGGTGTGCTATGGGGTCTCCAGTTTCTCCTATTGTTGCCAACCTTTACATGGAGGAGGTAGAAAAGAGCCTTGACGTCCTTTTCAGGGACACCACCAAGTCATTGGTTCAGGTATGTTGACGACACCTGGGTTAAAATTAAATCTCAGGAAGGCCAACATTTTACTGATTATGTCAACTCTGTGGATAAATATATACAGTTCACACAAGAAGATGTAAAAAAAAATGGCAGGTTGGCTTTCTTGGACTGTGAGGTCTCAGTTTCTGATAGAGGACATTTGCAAACTGAGGTGTACCGCAAACCCACCCACACAGACCAGTATTTGCAGTTTGACTCCCATCACCCTTTGGAGCACAAGTTAGGAGTCATCAGGACCCTGTATCACAGAGCAGACAGCGTCCTCACTAACTCAGGAGCCAGGCAGAAGGAGAAATCCCACACAAGACAGGCTCTAGAGCCATGTGGATATCCTAATTGACTTCAGGAAGCTTTAGTAATTCTCTCCAACCACCATTGATGGATAGCAGGTTGAAACTGTCTCATGCTACAAGTACCTGGGTGTGGTTCTGGACTGTAACTTAAAGTGGGACTCATGGGCTGACCATATTAGTGCCAAGGCTCAGCAGAGGATTTTTTTTAAAAGAAACTGGGGTCTTTTCGAGTCAATAACTCAATTATTTAAATGATTTATTTGGCTTTATTGAGGGTATTTTAACGTTTTGTCACATCTGTTGGTTTGGCAATGCTACAGAGGCTCAGAAGAAATCATTGTCCAATAATAACTTAAAACCATTTGTTTCCAATTAGCCTCACTGATTAGTGGTTTTCTTAAGGCTACCCAGCTGTTCAGTCTCAATTCCTTGAGTTCCCTTTGCATTGTGTGTGGAAATGCTCTTACTTTCACTATTAAACATAGCCCTGAGTGCTACTGTTGTTTTTCTTCTATTTGATTTCACCAAACATTTAAGTGATCGCCGATCACGATCCTTCAGGACTTTTTTCCGGCCACATTTTTTCCTCAAAGACGATGGGTCCCCAACATCCTTCCAGTTTTTAATGATGCGTTGGACAGTTCTTAACCCAATTTTAGCAGTTTCTGCAATCTCCTTAGATGTTTTCTCTGCTTAATGCATGCCATTGATATGACCCTTCGCAAACAGACTGATATCTTTTCCACGACCACGCGATGTGTATTTCAACATGGTTGTTTAAGAAATGAGAAGCAACTCATTGCACCAGATGGGGTTAAATAACTTGTTGCCAGCTGAAAGATAATCACCCATGCAGTAATTATCAAATAGGAGGCTCATACCTATTTGTTTAGTTATACCCAGGTGGTGACTTATTTTTGGACCAGGCAGTGTACTTTACAAGGAAATAGCATAACAGATGAGTGGAAATAAATTTTATGAGTGTTTGGGAGACAGATAAATGTTTCTCATTAAAACTAGTGAAATTATGTTATTCATCACCAGATTCAGGCATGCAAAAATTAAATTAAATATATTAGTGAGTGTGAGTGGCTTCTTGCCTATGAGTTCTTTCAAACTACTTTTTCTCCCCAGTGTGGATTCTCATGTGCCTGTTTAAATTGTCCTTACTGGTAAACAGTCGGCCACAAAAATCACAACAAAATGGCTTCTGTCCTGTGTGGATTTTCATGTGTTTTTTTAAATGAACTTTTTGAGTAAACCTTTTCTCACATAGATCACAAGAAAATGGTTTCTCTCCCCTGTGAAATTTCATGTGTGCGATTAAACCTCCCTTTTGAATAAAGCTTCGTTCACATAGATCACAAGAAAAGGGCTTCTGTCCTGTGTGAATCATCATATGTTTTTTTAAATTGTAATTTTGTGTAAACTTTTGATTACACTGATCACAAGAAAAGTGCTTC